TTCGGGTCCCGCCGGCATCCTCCTGGGCAGCTCACGGCTTTCCCCTCTCCCGCCCTGTCGCCGCCTGCAGTGCCCTGCTCTGACAGATAGGGGGCAGTGAGGCACCTGCACCTCCGTTCGGCCGTGGGGTCTGAATGCGGAGACCTCAGGCATTTGGTTTTGAAACTTCTGGTTTGTCACGCGGGAACCTCAGCACAGACAGAGGCTTCCCTGGGATTAAGGGCTTAGTAAGAGTACCTGGGCCTCGGCTCCTGCCACGCCACAGGGTCCCTTACCTCGCTGAATTGTGAGAATTAAATGACCTTGGAAAACAAGTTTCTGTTGCACTCCATGCTCAGAGCAGCGTCCTGACTCTAACTCACGAGAATGGGCCCAGGCCCTGCCCGGAGTTACCGAGTCAGGCTCTTTGGGAGTAGGACCTGGGCTTCTGCTGATCACAAACCTTCCACAGGTGATTCTCATCCCAGGTTAGGGCGAGAGCTTGCTGGTTACTGGGAGAGACGGGCAGTGACCTGGGAATAACACACCTGTTTATAGATGTGATTTGGTTTGTGGCTTTCTCCTTGGCTGGGATTTGGTAAGGATCAATTCTGTTGGAAAAGCCGGCCTATTAGAAATACTTTTCTTGCCCAGCTGGCGTGGCTTAGGGCTTGAGCGTCCACCTATGAACCAGGAGGTCGCTGTTAGATTACCAGTCAGGGCACATGCCTGGGTTGTGGGCTCCATCCCCAGTGAGGGGGAGGCAGGAGGCAGCCAGTCAATAATTCTCTCTCATCATTGAAGTTTCTATCTCGTTCTCCCTCTCCCTTCCTCTCTGAAATCAATAAAAACACATTAAAAAAATACTTGTTCTTCCTCAGCAGGTCACACACTGGGCCAGTGACTGGTCTTGGGCCTCCCCATGCCACAGTGGCCCTCAGGAGGAATGGCAGTTGTGGGCAGCATGCTTGGGTAAGCACCAACCTCCAGGCCTCTTGTGATTGCTGTCATGGGGTCACCCAAAGGAATATCAACTCTGGAGCCTCAGGCCGCGCTGCCTAGGGAAGCCTCCCAAGCCAGTGTGTTACCTGGAGAATATACACCAGTCAGTACACGTGTACAGATGCTGTGACGGCATTGTGGGAGGAATAGAAGCCACTTGTGACTATTTAGCACCAGACAGCGGCGGTGGTCACTTTCCTATTCAGACCCTGCAACCAGTCTCTGCTCTGGGTCCCTGGAGAATGCCATGGCTTTCCTGCTGTTCCCACAGGCACTGTCTGTTCCCCTTGCCCCATTGCTTCCCCCAAATGGGAAGCATGGTGTGGTAGTGTTGACAGAGGAGAAAACGAGGGCAGGTTCCTTGTTTTTGTGAAATCTGGGGACAGGGCTGTGACACTTGGAGTCTGAGTCAGTGTGAACAGGGCGGAGGAACTCTGGCTACAGCATTCCCTGGAGGGCCCTCATCCCGGGAAAGGTTCCTGTGGGAACCAATGCTCTAGTGGGAGAGCACCAACATTCTCCAAGGATTGGCTCTATCCCCTTCCAGAAGCCTCCCCAGCCCACTGACCTCAGGTTCTCAGGAGAGGCTGTGCCTTGGGCTCCCTGGCACTGCTAGGAATAGGCCCTGCCTGACTGCAGGCTCTTCTGGTGCTGGCGCTCCGCCACCACCTCCTTTCTCCTGTCTTACACTTCTGAAGGCAGGGACTGGATTCATTTGGCCAAAATTTACTGAGTGCTCAGCTAATGGTAGGACTTAACAGTCAATAAGTTGTGGTTCTTGCCCCCAGGCCATCAGAGTCTAGCAGAGGAGATGGGCCCTCAGCCCTGGGTGTCAGCTGGGAGGTGCAGGAGGTGGGTCTAAATTCAAATTTGCATGAAAGCCACGCTGTAGGGGACCTAGGGGGTCATAAGGCAAGGCCCCAAGTGGGTGAGAGATGGGGCAGGGCAGGGCCTTGCCTCAGAGTATGTGCTTTTCCCCATGTGGGAGGTTTTGAGTGTATGCCATGTTCAGAAGCTAGTGGGCTCCACAGGTCTTGCTGGGCTCAGGCTGCCCCAACAGATGGCAGCAGACCAGGCAGCTTATTTCCCACAATTCTGGAGATGTTCTTGGTTCAGATGGCCACCTTCTCCATGTCTTCACAGGGCAGAGAGAAAGCCAGTTCCTGTCCCTTAGAAGGGCACCATTCCTACTGTAATGGCCCTACCCCCCTGATCTCTTGTAACCATAACCACCTCCCAAAGGCCCTGCTTTTGATACCTTATTGAGGGTTAGGGCTTCAACATGTGAATTTGGTGATACAAACATCCAGTTCACAGCACCAAGTCTGTGTTCCCCTAAAAGACTTTCCTGCTCCTGCCCCATCTCTCACCCACTTGGGGCCTTGCCTTATGACCCCATAGGTCCCCTACAGCGTGGCTTTCATGCAAATTTGAATTTAGACCCACCTCCTGCACCTCCCAGCTGACACCCAGGGCTGAGGGCCCATCTCCTTTGCTAGAAACTGCTATCCTAAGTCCCCTGTCCTCAGCAGTCTGAAAGTCTGTGTTCACCCCCCTTGGCCTCTTCCAAGACATGGGGTTAGAAGGTGCTCTGACCATATTCCAAATCTAGGTGATCCCTGTGGGCACCCACAGGAGCTGGCCATTTTGGGCTTAGGGGGCACTCTGGTCCCAGCACCTGCCATTGACCAACATATGTGTCTGCAGCCTGTTGCGGCAGCATGTGGTGATAGGGGCTGCCCCTGTGGTCCGCTGCCTGCACATATCTTCGCGTCGGGCTGACAGCAGCAGAGCTTCGCTCACTCGTGTGCACAGACAGGCCTATGCACGCCTCTACCCCATACTCCGGGTCAAGCAAGATGGCTCCACCATTCACATCCGCTATCGGGAGCCCAGGCGAATGCTGGCGGTAAGCTTCACTCCCTGGGGTGCAGGTCTAGGCTGGATAGGGGGGCGGGGGGGCGGGACGGCAGGTTATGGAACTCACTCCACACACCAAGATCAGACAGCAGCAGCAGGCTATATGTAAAACAAATTTAAAGAAACACTTCCTGGGTAAACAAGCAGAAATTTCTTTAAAGAGTAGAAGCTTTGAAGGGAGAGGAGTGGCATACACTTTCTGGTCCATGCCTTCCCTTCCTCTCCAGATGCCTGTGGACCTGGATGCCCTGTCCCCAGAGGAGAGGCGGGCACGGTTCCGCAAACGTGAGGCCCAGCTCCGAGGGAAGGAGGAGGCGCAGCCAGAGCTTCTTGACAACTTTGACCTGGAGCGGTACAAGCAGTTTTGGACCAAGAAGTGATCATACCCACAAGCTGCCCTGGCTCAGGATGCTGTAGAAGGGGAGGGCATTCATCTTTAAATTGAGTGTCAGGATTTTAAAACCACCTTGTCTTTCTTTCTCATACACCTGCTGGACAGGGCTCTCTGCTACTGAGCCCACTGGAGGGATCAGTTGGGTCAAATTGTGGTTTTAGGAAGAGCTTCAAAGGGCACACGAGCTGTTGACATGACAGAAGTTGAGGGTGCTCCTCCCACTGCAGGAAGCGCCTGCTACTGTCCAGCCAATTCTCAGCTCTGGAGCCTCCTCTTCCAGCACTGCCTTTGCCTCAGTGCCAAGGGCTCTCCCAGGGAGCACAACATGGGGAGTGGGTGGGATCCAAGGATGGTAGCACCTGGCCTGCAGCTGGCATACTCTGCCCCTCTCCAGTGCTCCCCTAGCCCTGCCCCCTGACAGTGGGAAAGTGCTATCTGACAGAGGGGACAAGCAGAGCAGCCAGCCCCATTGCTAACTTTTTAAGTCTTGGCAAAGAGCCTTGGTGGGCTGCCACCTTTTGCTCTTTCCTGCAAGACCTGAGTGAGCAATTACCAACTTTTACACAAGCAGCTGACCAGGCCTAGACATGGGGCTGCACCTTGTCCTGTCCTGTAGGTTGATCATGGGACCCTGGCTATCAGGCTCTTTTTCATAAACCTGAGGGCCCATGGTAGAACTGATATATAGCTAGACAATGGGGAGGGCATTCCAGCCATGACCAGGGAGGCAGAAGCCTGTGGGAAGTGACCCTGCTCACATGGAAGGATGCTAGGCTGAGCACCCACCTTGGACTCATACCTTGCAATCCTGCCCTGTGGCCCACTGAGCATGCAGCCAGCCATTTGTAGCTCCTAGGGTGGCTGCCCTACATGATCTGCCAACCCTCTGGCCTGCTCAGGAACATTCCCACCTGGGCAGCCTCCCTGGATCCTTCAGCCCTTCATCTGCTGCTCCAGCTTACTGCTTACTACTCACCTCCAGGGAGGCACCTAGCAACAGTGTCTGTACTCACTATTCAGGGCCAAATTATTCATGACACTATTGAAGATGTGGGTGCACTGTGCGGAAGAAGTTAAGTATTGCATGGGAAAGTGTGGATTTATGCCAGGAGCAGGGTAGGGGTCAGTGTTGGGAAGTTACTAAGAGTACTTACTCTGCTATTGAAGGCAAGCAGGTGATCAGACTTGCACTGGGAATGAGGAACCCAACTAGATATGGAAGATGGGGTTTCTTGCCAGAACTGGAGGTGTAAAGATGGACCTAGAGGCCTAATG